CACATTTTAGCGGCTTTACAAAAGTCACTCGAGGTGATGTGCTGCTTCGGTTTTTTTGGACTGACAGTCACAACGATGGCTCAGGAGGGGAAGTAACTGACTGGACACCTGGGGGGGGGGGGGGGGGGGGAGAGAGGGGCACTTGACAGTTATATATTCATCTCTGTATTAACATCTGTCCAGTGTTGAAGTGATGAATGAAAAGTTTGTGAAATCTGAAGCGCTGAAGCTACACTCGCTGAGGCTGCAGGCTCGAGCCGGAGCCGCCTGCGACTTACGCTACATCTACAAAGGCTGCCTTTGTGAAACCAGCTGCTGCGTTGATGAGAAAAAAAGCTATTGATAACCACTGTCTTGATCATTTCTATACGTGTACTGTGTGATGTTTTGATGCAGAAGATGAAACACCACGACCACATCTAAATCAGCAAATTGACCAGTGAGGTCTGGTGCGAGACAGTTTACATCTGTAAATAGCTCGTATGAATTCACATGCTCTGCTATTTCAAGATCAAGCTTGAGAAAACCACATTGATTATTTATAATTGTTTTCGTCTCTGTTGGTTCTAAACATGAACAGACCACCTTAAAGATGGTAGTTTACATCTGCAGACGTTAGAGACTTTAACACTGTCGATAATCGTGTTTCCTATGAAGGAGCACTCCGATGAGATCCATTTTTTAAGTTACCAAGGAAACAAGATTTCATTGAAAACATCACATATAAAAATCAAAGAAAAGCAGAAGTAAAAAAACAAAAACTTCTAATCTACCTGGCTGGCATGCATGCTACTACACAGCAAGAGTTTTTTTTCAGTTCATATTTTTTCATTCTTAATGGCTCCACCACATATTTACATCTTCAGTCTGAGGTGTCCATTGAAATCTCACACCGACCTACAGCAGCAGCAGCAGCAGCAGCATACCCGAATAACTTAAACACAACTCACAGAGCTGTGGGGACTTACAGGAAACGTCATGGTGTACTCAACATCTCTCTTATTGTCAAGGAAAAGAACAATAACCCACAATGAATCAGGTAAATAAACCTAAAAGTGTTGTTTCTTATTCCTTTGTGGCATTTCTGTCCAAAAACTCTCAACGCACGTCAGTAATCTTCTGTTCTGTTCTTGAGAAAAATAAATGAATCAGAAGTTTTTTAAAAGACATCAAAGAGCACCACTGGATAACACGTTCCTTCCCAAGTAAACCAAAATGCTCAGTGAACAAGATGCGTATTCATCCGCAGCTGAAAACAAGTTTTTTACTCATGTTTGAGTCATGTTTTTTTTAAAGGTTACAGCGCCCACTACATTCACAAATGAAAGTTCACCCTCATGATATGAATTTAAGGATTCTTGAAGTCTGGAATATTAAAAAGTACTTAAAAATGATTCAATAAATTACACTTTATGACAATAAGAGAAATATAGAATAACACCAGACCTATCCGTTAAATCTTGTATCACATTGTTCACACAATTTCAAAAGTCTCCAAAACAAAGCCGGTCTAAGGCTCATCTGAAGTCCAATCTGAAGGTCCCGTCCACGGAGACATGTCCACTTTACTTTAACTGTCCTTCAGTCTTCAGTCAATCGGTTTCTATGTAACAATATTTGTAAATCATCTGAAGAGACGTCGCAGGCATCGTGTGTCTTTTGAGTTTTTTGTCAGTCGGTGGAATGAGCTCAGTGCTCAAGCCGAGGAGTTTGATTGGATGAACAGAATTAGAGCTCCGGTTGAGTCACGAGTTGATTGGCTTTGAAGCCGCTCCACTCCGGGAGGAAAAATCTGCGTGATCCAGCAGAGCGAGTGATTGGACGAGGGGGGGGGGGGGGGGGGGGGTGTACAGGACGAGGGGACGGTTGCCTTCTCGGTGGAGACCAAATTGTGTTACTTTTGACAAATTATGTCAAAACTGAATTAGGCTTTAATGAACAGGGTTCCTCTGTGTCTGTGCCATTTCTGAACACGATGAACGGGATCATGTGTGAGTTTGTTTTCATCAAGAAAAAAAACAGACTGATCCTCAAAACAGCCAGATGTTACGATCCGCATCACTTGATTTGACATACTTGATCTGATTTCATTAACGTCCAGGTCTAAAGGAGAAGCACGGTGGAAGCAGTTGTTGCCCTTAACATTGACCCACATTCACACACAAGCACGACCAACACGCTGCCAACAAACCATCCCATTCTGCCCTTCCTCGTCCTGACAATGGCTGGCGGGTGTGGGGTGTCAAATCTAATGAAACAGCCAGGGAACAACAGCTGAGTGTGAATGGATATAGGGATTGGAGGAAGGGGAGGGGGGGTGAGTCAAGACACAAGTGTCCTTGTGAAAGCTTGAGCCAGAGACAGAGATAGAGAGAGAGAGAGAGAGAGAGAGAGAGCTGCACTGACCATAACAACAAGCCCAAAATGGCTGCCAGTCATGGTTAGAGAAAAAGAGCCTCTTTGGGGCGTGAATCACTCGCTGTCGTTCCGCTCTGCTTGAACGGTATGAGCTCATGTGAAGGTCCCCCAGGCGGGCACCAGGGCAGGCTTGACTCGGATAAACCCGGCTGAGCTGCAATAGGGAGCAGAGCTGAGCTTTGAGTCTCTGAGGCCTCCGGTTTCTTAGAGCTGGATTTGAAGGCTCAGTCAAGGGCCAAAACTATGCGAGAAGCGTGCGAGCCGATCCTATTGGATTGTAAACTGTTTATGTGTTTCCTCACGTTCCTCACTCCTCTCTGTTTAATTGGGCGGCAGGATTAGAACTGGATTACCAAAGGAGAGGATGTGTACCACAATGTATGATCCCAAATGCGTTTAAAGGTCAGATCCTAAAATGATGTTTTTTTCTGTATTATGGAATCCCGCTGAGTATATCTTGTGGTGTCACAGAAAAGTGTGTTAAAGGAACCGCCGACTGGTGGAGGGAAGTGGAGCACCGAAACCTCCAGATGCCCAAACACAATAAGATTAAGGCTTTGCCACATGCTATTGTGGGGCATCACATCTTGGCCGAAGTAAAGCTTTTGGTTTGAAGCAGTTTCCTGAAGCAGGAGCGTCCTGCTGTTAACCGGCGGCTCCTGTCTTAAAGGGCCAGACCCAGAAAAAAGGGTCTCAAGATAAGTTGGAGAGAGGGTTGACTATTTCTCTCATTTTTCTTTCCCAGAACAGGATCAGATTGACAAGCATGACAGAGTATTTCAGACGGGATCAGATTCATTTCCGATTGTGTTATTGATATTAGAAAAACTGTGACTTCTCAGCACCAGAGGATAGGACGACAGAAGAACAAGGACAACAGTTTTCCTATTCTGCTCAACCTCTAGCAACTTGTAAACATAAGGAAAAGGCAATGTGGGTTCACAGGCAGACATTTCATGTTTACGGTTCACAAGGCAGACTATGGCTCACCATTCTATCTTTTCAGCTTCCCTGCCTAAAGGTAGGTTTGATTAAGATCAATGCTAAAGATGAGCTCATATCAATACTGTCCAAAAATCCACATCTTTTTTTAGAGCAACAGTGGCAACTCTTAGGCTCCTCTCTCTCTCCCCGCATCAGATTTCCACAAACACACGAGGGGGAAATAGAGATTAAAGGCATTCGAGAGCACAGATGCCAATGACTCATTCAGAGGAGCAATTTAGCGTGGCACAAGAGTTTAAAGAGGGATAAGGGAGGAAACAAAGCCTCTTGTTGCAGATGAGAATATGCAGGTGACCCATGAGAAAGTGGGGCAAATTCAGAAACAACAAACAACCACAACAAACCTGTTCAACCTGAACACTGTTTATCTGCGACTCCAGTGCCGATATCTCTCTCAGGCTGCGTTCAGACTAAAGGCATTATAGCCCAGTTTGGATGTGTTTGTTTGTCTGTTCACTTATTATTATCGAATGGGGCCTGTCTCAGACTCAAACATATGAAAGTGGCCCAAATCTGATATGAAGAGATCAGATTCCATGTGTCTTGTGCTGTTCACACTGTTATAAAAAATCTGACCTGAAACACAAAAAAATCAGATTCAGGTCATTTTTCACCAGCAGTGTGAGTGCAGCCTTTAACGTGAACTCAGAGCTGTACACGTGCATCAAATGTTTTTTTCATGCAGAATAAAGCGCACTCAACAAGGTATTTAAATGTGTGTTTTGTGTGTGTGTGTGTGTTTACAGTCCGGCCTGACCTGGATAAGCCACTGGAGCTCTGCAGGGCTGCCGAGTGGACTAGTCGAGGGGGCAGAGGTTGAGAGAGGGGAGGGGCAGCGGTAATCGGCTAATCTCATTAATACCCCAACTGTGGGTGCGCTGTCAACAAGACGCAGGGAACAAAGGAGGGAGTAAACAGCTGATGACCCTGGCTGCCGTCCACTCTGCACATTGCGCGCACACACACACACACACACACACACACACACACACACACACACATGCCCATGCATACACTCTGCTTCCACCAGGAAAACTCTCCAGAGATTAGATAAAAACAGAAACAGTCGGCCGGCAGGTTTTGAGTGAGTTAAGATGAAAAAAAAAGAAAAACACACACACAGCAACCGTCCCCTCAGGCGAGACGACCCTCAAAAGGCTCCACAAAACACACCGCCTGCTCCGTCTTGCTTTAGTGATCACAAAGCGCACAGCAGGACCAGCGGGACCTTACATGGACCTCCTCAGCTGCTCCCATCAGTCTGAGTCACTTTTCACTGCTGGCACATGGGGGGCTAAAGAACAGCAGCCGATGTCAAGATGTCTCAGGAACAGAACAGGACGAGGCCCGTCTGTACCGCGCTTCTTTCTCCTGTGAATCCACTCAGATGGCCCCGAATAAAAACTGTGAGAAATCCTGAATGGTACTTTGTGAGATTTTATTTGATCTCTTCTTCATTATCTTGATTGATCACATTCAGACGGGAGGGGTGAGGATGTTGGGAATGCCTGGCTCTGCAGATCTGAAAGGGCAGCTGGGATGACTGGGAGCTGCAGACCCAGGGGGGGGGGGGGGGTCAGAGGGGACAGGTGGACCAAATGGTTCCCCCCCGGTTTGAGTGAACTCAGGTGGAAGAAGAAGAGACACAACTCTTAGGCCTCTGTTTGCCAATTTTTCAAAGAAATATTTGGGGTGTGTTTTAATTCCTTATTTCTTTCTGTGGATGGGGGGGGGGATGGAGAGATCCGATATTTGTGCAATAAATCTGTCCAGGTAGGGTTTCGTTTCTCCTTCAGAACAGCAGAAGAAGAGAAAGGGAATGGGAAATCTGACAAATTTGTATGTCGTGTGCAAGTCTACGTGTCAGTAAGAGTACAAAAAGGCATGCGGTCAGCGAGGATCAGAGCTCAAACTCTCACCGGTCCAGCACTCGACTGTAGTCCTGAGGGCCGCAGCCGCCTTCGCTCTTAAGTTCGGCGAACACCTGTGTGAAAAAGTGCGGGTCCGCGTTAATCCGCAGCATCTTGGCGCTGGTGGCGTTGATGATGGCGAGACAGCGGTCCCAGAAGGCCTCCTTGCCCGCCTCGACCAGGAAGGGCTTGAGCGGGTACGAGATCTCGTTGCCCATGTAGGAGTAGGACAGGTAGAGGCAGGTGAGCAGGATGGCCTGCAGCTCGTGCTCCGACGCCACCAGGTCGCCGTCCACCACGTCCCGGCACAGCATGTAGACGAAGACCACGTTGGCCGGCGTGACGAAGGCCTGGTCCTGCCAGCCTTGCAGCAGCAGCGAGCGGTCCACGGCCCGCAGCCAGAGCACCGGGTCCGCCGGGGACAGGTGCTTCAGGCGGTAGCAGCGGCAGCACAGGAACTCGCCGAGGCAGCGCAGGAGCTCGCTGGTGGACGCCTGGACGATGACTCGCTTCGGAGACGAGGTCACGGCGCTCTGGGGGACTTTCTTCACCGAGGAAAGCTGCTGGGACTTGCTGTAGCCGAACCCGTGACCCTGACCCAACCCCATCCCATAGTTGAGCCCCAGACCCAGACCGGCTGGGCCCTCGTAGCTGGACAGGTTGGCGCACGACAGCGACTTCTTCACATTCTCTCGATTGAGGTGCAACAACGGGTCCTTCTGGTAGATGTTGATGTTGTTGTTGTTGTTGAGAGGATCCCCGAAGGTCACCGAGCCCTTCTTGGAGTTGCCCCTCTTCTTCGTCGAGGCCACCAGCCGCTTCCACGTCAGCGCGGGCAGGAAGATGGACTGACCCCTCTTCAGCCCGCGGTCCTTCTGGCTGTTGAGGGAGCGGCTGCTGAAGCTCGGGTAGTGGCTGAGCGAGCCCGGCCGGTTGTCATAGTAGCCGGATTTCCGAGAGCCGGGGGAAAGGGATAGCACGGTGCCCATGGTGAGTCAGTGCAGCTCCAGAGATTTACACTGATCTCTGCTGCTGTTGAAGAGACGAGGACGAGTCTGAGGGGGCAAGATGTTTCTCAATATCCAGGAGAGGTAAACATCAGGAGGACATGACAAGGTGAGCACGCTTTAAATGACCTGCAACGTTAAAACACAGGGAGAGAGGATTTAAAGAAACAGACAGCAAAATGCATCTAAACACTCTTCAAATCCACATGTACTGTAAATTAACCTCTTCAACACTTTTGTGTGTTTTTCCAACCAACAAAAGCTCTCGCTGTGCAACCAAAAATATTCAAAACACAGTTCGCTTTATATCGAGACCCCGTGCAGTCGTATCCTGCACATGATGATCTGCTTGTTGAAGTAGCCTATCTGTGCTTTGGGTAAACAGGGATTTGAATAATCGGGTTTCTAAGGGGGAAAAAGGCTCTTAGACAGGAAACTAATGAGGATCTTAAGGCATTCAGTGTTAAGACAATTTGTTCTGACCTTTAAGGAGAAACTTTGCTGGTAAAACTGGATTAGAAAGGGTTCATCAACTGATTCAATCAATGGGCTCATCTTCTCTGAAACTTGTGAAGATCTCTAGATTTGAAACTATTAAATGGAATCTTATCTGCATACCAGGAAGCCCCTTCTGTAATAAGCCACTGTGTGTTAATACTCAGCATGTAATCTAACTTGAATGATACATCCGAGGCTATTTCTTTTGACACTCAGTCTTCATCACAATGCTCACCTGGATTTAAGATTTGATGTTTTCTGCTGCAGTTTGCCAGGATGCAAAGATAAAAGAGTGGATCTCCTGCTGCCACAGATGAAGCAGTGAACAGTTTGATGATCTGTCAGAGGAACTACAGACGGAATATCACTCTTGCAAATGGGTTGACAACACTACTCAAATATGCAAAGTCTGAATCCAGTCGTGTGTCCTCGCGAGGCGGGGTGCAGGTGTCATCCTCCGCTGGCCCCTCAGCCCGGAGCGACGATTGTATTTAACTTTATGAGATAAAATGGATTTTTCTTTGTGTCTCCATGTCCGAAAGACAAACTTTCACAGCGCCCGGGTCCTTTCGATACATTCCATGTCTCAGCTCTGACCACTGAAGTCTCTGCTGGCTCTTGTTCCTGCTCCGCGGTGCAGCTGAGAGTCCGCGCGCTGATCGGAGCTTGGTCCCTGCAGTCCGACCTCAGCACGCGCCGCTCACACACTGAAGGGCTGGGCAGCCAGTGAGCGCACAGACTCTCATCACACACACACACACACACACACACACACACACACACCTCCCCCCACACACAGACTCCTCCTCGCGGGTCTCAGCTGCAGCCCTGACACACACACAAACACACGCACGCACACACGCAAACACGCACGCAAACACGCAGATTTAAGAAAAGTACAATAAATACACCATAATAAACTACCATAACATCATTTATTTGAATCTTAGTGTCGTGATACCTCACACACTACACTATACAGTGCGCCTTACGTTAGTTGAAGCAGGAGGAGTTTGATAACGGTTTTAAGGAGAAGCTTAGAATAAACTTTAAAACTTCAAAACGACACAAAATATGATCGGAAAAAAATAAAAATACATTAGTTAACATTGACGAGCCTTAAAAGATAATAAGAAATGTTAAGAGTTTAATTTCCCCTCACTCAAAGCCCTTTACTTTTCTAATAATTATGTTTTTCAAGATTGATTTTGGGACATATTGTCTTTATTGAGATAGGACAGTGGACAGAGTAATCAGGAGAGAGAGAGAGGAGGGAAAGGAGCCGCAGGTCAGACTTAAACCTTGGCCGCCCGCTTGGAGGATATTTCAAATCTGTGGGTCTTCAGCTGAGAAGGACGACCACAGTCTCCACTTACTGCACTGCTCTTGTCATGACTCCTTGGAGTATTTTTGAACAATTTGACTGACCAGTTCTGGGGCAAGACCATTCACACACACAAACATTAGCTTTATACATGAGACATTTATTAAGTTGTCAAAGCTTGAATTCAGAATCAGAATCAGATTTATTGTCCAGGTATGCTTACACACACACAAGGAATTTAACTTTGATGAACTGAGCTCTCTTATGTACATGTACAACATTAAATATCAACAATAAACACAATAAGAAAAGACTAATATTTACATGACTAAACATGAAACAGTGCAAAAGATGCTGAAGTAAAATGATAATAAGTAAAATGCAGTTATGTGACAGATGGGTCAATTAAGATGTCAATTACAGTATTTACATAAATAAGTATGTAAGCATATATTGATCATTTAAATTAAATAATATGTATATACATATCAGTGACGGTTGGTTTAGAGTAATTTCACAATTGACGGTTTGATTGGCGCTCCATGCAGTCCACATGTCAGTGCAAGAAGATGAACCCCTAAATTGCTCCTCATGGAAAGTCAGCAGGGTATGATTGTGTCAGGGTTAGTAAATACAGGCGGGCACTTTACAGTATCCTGTGCAATCAGTGTATGACTGTGAGTGAATGGATGAATGTGACATGCTGTGTAAAAGTGCTCTGAGCGGTCAGAGGTCATCATGCCTCATTGTTTTAATTAACTCAGTGTAAGAATAATAGGTAGAAGTGTAGTTGCAGAAGTCGTACTTTTAAAATTAGCAGAAATCTTTTTTTGTCGGTTCTGCACAAACTTTGAGTCCCCTGCTGATGACCGAGGTTCTCCAATAAACTCCGTCAGCTTCATAAAGTGCAAATGGTGCAGGATGCATGTGGGCCAATAAAGACATAATGACTTGACAGAAGATGTACAATTGTCCCCGAGAAGCCTGGAAGTCTAAGTATCAGGCACAGGGAGGTACAACAGTATAGGTTCATATAGATTTATAGGAACATTAACTCGCTGGTGTTACATTAAAAAAGCTCCCCCCCCCCCGTTGCTCTGAGACTCTGAGCTGCTCATTTACCTCCCTGAGATCTTTGTTATGAGGTCACTGTCGGCGTGCTGTACCTGTAAGCTAAACTTAAGACGCACGTTTTGGTTTCATCTGCCTACTCAAACCAGAAATCCCTCGTACCCCCTTAGAGGCAAATAAAACTTTATGGATCGAATCGAAATTGAAAAAGGATGTATCAGCTGGAGATGGAATGAGAGCGAGTATGACTCACCTGGGAGGGGTTTACTGCAGGTTAGAGCGGGTAAGCGGGTAAGCCCCCCCCCCCCACGTGTCTGCAGGTCTGCTCCTATTATGCAACTGTCTTTATGAGTCCGTCTTGTATTGTAGGTCGAGTGTAAGAGGATGAGATACACCGTTTGGATGGACGTCAACAGAATATCAGAGAAGAGGTTATTATCCTCTGGTAGTCCAGCTCTGTGTGAGTTCTTTGTTAAGTTAGTCCAAACTAAGACTCGTTGAAAATACTTAGGTTATAACTTAAGTTGTATCATTGTTTGGTTGCACCGCAGAGACTAAAGCTTCATTTGAACATTTAACATCCAAACTAAGCAACATTTTGTCACAGGTCTGACATTTTCACTTCCCGTGTCCAATCGTTTTTTTAATGTTTGTCGCAGTGCTGCCTCTTGTTCCTAATTGTCCCTAAAAAGACTAACAGGCTGTTGAAGCGCTGCTAATCCACAAACAGCGATGAAAACGTGTGTAAAATGTGACAACGCATCATGATTAGGTGATGACGACGGCTACAACGGGGTGCTGGCAGCATAGTGGTCAGAGCGTGCGCCCAATGTAAAGAGCCAGAGGTCCTTGGTTCCATTTGACCTGTGGCTCCTTTCCCGCCTTTCACTCCCCACTCTCTCTCACCCCGGTTTCTGACTCTATCCACTTTCCTTCTCTAAATGGTAACTAGACTTGACACTTTTCTAGGCTTCTGATTACTCAAAGCACTTTTACACCGCAGGTCACACCTACAAATTCACACCCTGATGATGCTATGCAGTGAGACAGAAGTAACTAATCCCATTCATACACATTCATATGCAAATGACGAAGCAGCGGGAGCAACTTGGGGTTAAGTGTCTTTCCCAAGGACAAATCGGACATGAGGCTGCAGAAGCTGGGGATTGAACCCCTGACCTTCCGGTTGAGAGACGACTATCTCGACCAAAATGAGCCACAGCCGCCCCAAATATAAATAAAGTCATGAAAAGAAGAGCTACAACCTTATTCTACAGCTGACACTGAGTGGGGAAATCTTCAACAATAATAAGGTAATAAAGTTAAGGATATAGGGGATACAAGAGGCTTTTTAAAGGTCTTACAGATCTTACAGATATGTTTTTAAATGTGTGAGCTCAGGCCTTAATGAAGCATGTGTTGATCTTATAAATGAACAGATTTTACACTTAAAAATCTAATCTTCTCGAAGCAAAATCTAAGAGCCACGTTTAGATTAAAAAAAAAAAAAAAACCACAAAGGATCTCTCAAGAGGCTTTTTCTTTTTCATCCGGAGCCCTGCGGTTGAAAGCACTCATCTGATTGATCATGAATCACTTTATAAGCCGGCAGAAAATATCTAAAAGCTTGTTTGGCAGCTTCTCAAACACACCGTCACATTCACAGCTGTCCACTGCGTTTCTGACTGAGTCATCGTCCAGAGGAGAGGAGCCTTAATATGAGCTGTCAGAAACTCCTCTAACAGCCGACTCAATGCAGCTGAACTCATCCATTATGAATGTGAACTTTCTATTGACGATACAGCACTTAAACAGGAAGTAGAAAAACATGCTGAAAAGATAACTACGTAAGCCCAGTGGTCGTTCTTGTTGTGTTCAGGTTATTACTTCTCATTTTCATCAGAGATCAGAGGAGCTCTTCCAGCATGTCTCGACGTCTTTGGACTGGTGTAATCCAGAATACTCCAGATTGCTCAGCACATGCAGACTTTATTCAGTGATAGTTATGAACCCTCTGACGGTCGTGACAGCGATGTTGAAAGCTGATTTCGGACGATATCACGCGAGGAATCAACCGGCCTCTCAATTCTAATCCCTCCACAACAACCCAACCATGCAGTTTGAGAATAAAGAGACAGTCTCTCTTTAATTTTAGCTTGTAAACTTGGAAATCTGCGCTGTGTTTCCTTGAGAAAACAAGATTTAAACCACCTGTTATCATTAGAAAATAAGCTTTGTTATCCAGTGTATGAACTCGTAATCTACAGATACAATTGTTCCTGTTTTCTGGAGAATAGTTAGAGAGCAAAGTGTAAGCTAGTCTCTGCTTAGTTTATCTTTCAGTTCAGCTAAACTTAAAGACTGGAAAGAGGGAGACAGTTATACTAACTGAGATGTGGATCTAACATTTTTTGTGCCATAAAAACAAGAAATTTGAGGGTTCATGAATCAACAAACCGACTGGTTAAGTCCATCCACTCACCATACTGCTGCTGCCTCATCGTTCTCTCCTCCTGACAGTCACTAGTTCTGAATTGTGTAAGATGCAAATGATGTTACGTGTGTGCATTACTCACAGTGCACCACATGTTTGAAAGCATCTCTCGTGTTTGGACACAAATAAAAAGACAGAATTATTTGAGAGATTTTAAGTCTGAGTCAACAGAATGCACAAAAACAAGGCTCAGACAAAGTCCTCTCTTGACATAAACCCATCTTTGTTTTTTATCCTCTATTTTGGTTTTGTACGTCAGTGCGAGCTTGGCTGATTGGCTGCTTGAGCTGTATAGGGGAGATCTCCTCATTCAGCACACACAAATACACACACACACACACACACACACACACACACACACACACACACACATAGAGTGCTATTTCTTCTCCGTCCTCATTTTCTCTGCTGTTCTTCCCTCTCGCTCCCTCGGACAGCTGCAGGACTCTCAGCATCTCCTGCACAGCTGACCCGGATGCACTGACGGCTATGAAAAGAGCTGTTGTTGTCCACTGATGACCCCCCTGCACCTCCCTCCCCTCCTCCCTGCAAACTCACTCACACACACACACACACACACACACACACACTTCATCACTCCACGGCAGCAGACACGAGGCAGGAAACACGAGCACAGACCTGTGATGGCTCTTATTCTCATCCTAATCCTCATTTTGACATTTACATTTTTAAATCCTGGGATTAAATGAGGATGAGTTGCATGAAACTTTAGTTTAAGTATTTGTTTTGCTGATCACTATTGATACAAGTGAAAGAATCCTAAATGTGCGTGTTAGCTTTCACTGGGGAGTTGAA